ATGTAATTCATGGAGCATTGGGTGTTATACGAAAACAATGGATCGTGGATCACCACATCAAAAACTAATGATGTATTGTATGGTGACTAACATAACATAATAAAATTTAAAAAAATTTAAAAATAGTAATTCAAAAAGATATATGCACCCCTCTGTTAATTGCAGCATTTTTTACAATAGCCAAGATATGGAAGCAACCTGTGTGTCCATTGGTAGATGAATGGATAAAGAAGATCTGGTCGGGGCGCCTGGCTGGCTCAGTCAGGGGAATGTGCAATTTTTGCTCTCAGGATTGTGAGTTTGAACCCCATGTTGGGTGTAGAGATTACTTAAAGATAAAACTTTTAAAAAAAGGAGATACGGGGGCACCTGGGTGGCTCAGTCGGTTAAGCAGCTGCCTTCGGCTCAGGGCATGATCCCAGGGTCCTGGGATCGAGCCCCATGTCGGGCTCCCTGCTCAGTGGAGAGTCTGTTTCTCCCTCTCCCTCTGCCTGCCTCTCTGCCTACTTGTGCGCTCTCTCTCTCTGTCAAATAAATAAATAAAATCTTTAAAAAAAAAAAAAAAAGGAGATACGGTGTACACGTACAATGGAATATTACCCAGCCATAAGAAAGAATGAGATCTTGGCATTTGCAGCAACATGGTTGGAACTAGAGGGTATAATGCTAAGTGCAATAAATCAGGCAGAGAAAGAAAAACATCAATGATTTCACTTACATATGGAATCCAAAAGACAAAACAAATGAACAAACAAAATCAGAAATAGAAACAGACTCATAAATATAGAGAACAAATTGGTGGTTGCCAGAGGGGAGGAAGGTCTGGGCAGGTGAAATAAGGGAAGGGAATTAAAAGGTAGAAACTTTCAGTTATAAAATAAATAAGTCACAGGGATGAAAAGTATTTTAACAATGTTGTATGGTGACAGATGGTGATTATACTTATTGTGGTGAGCATTTTATAATGTATAGAATTGTCGAATCCATATGTTGTACACCTGAAACTAATATTGTATGTCAAGTCCACTTCAGTAAATAAAAAATAAAGAAAAGAAAAGAAAAAAAAAATACAAGAAAAAGCAAGAATCCTCATGAGTCTGCTTTGATAGCTGCTACGAAAGAAAGCAGTGTATGTGTTTAGTGGATAAGGGGTTTCAGTTTGGGACAATGAGGGTTCTGGAGATGGATGGTGATCACTGCACAACATATGGATATATAGAACATCCCTGAACTGCACACTTAAACACAGTTAAAATGGTAAATATTATAGTATGTTTACTTTACCATAACAAAAATGTAAAAAGAATGAAATACTGTGTTTCAGTATTCAATAACATTTTAAAAATTAGAAAACTAGGGGCGCCTGGGTGGCTCAGATGGTTAAGCGTCTGCCTTCGGCTCAGGTCATGATCCCAGGGTCCCGGGATCGAGTCCCGCATCGGGCTCCCTGCTCTGCGGGGAGCCTGCTTCTCCCTCTGCCTCTCTCTCTCTCTCTCTCTCTCTGTCTGCCATGAATAAATAAATAAAATCTTTAAAAAAATAAAAAATAAAAAAATAAAATAAAAATTAGAAAACTATAGCACATATGTATATATTTCTATAAATATATCTCTTTATTTTATTTTATTTTTTTTACTCAAGGGCACACATTCTTTCATTGCACCATGAACGTTCATTAGTGCTTTATTATGAGTTCGAGTGGACAAGACATTATAAAGGGTACATTATAAAGTTCCTACCTCTTGCAAAGGACATCTATGAATACGATCCCTTCTCAAACAGAGGCTGCCACCGTGAAAGAGATTTCTGGGACCCATCTGGCCTGCCAAGGACCCTGAGCAGAAGTCTGGGGTGTCGACTGGCCAGCTCACAGTGTATGTGAAGTGCTCATGCAAACCCTGAATCCTTCACAATCGATCGTGCCCCCTGCACTTTTATAGACCCAATGCTTTCAAGCATTTAACAACCGAATTAAAGCCAAGCTCCCCAAGTACACACCAACTTTCTCCCTTTTCGTTTTGTATGTCTTTGGCACGTTCCACGGACCTCTGAGGTCTGTGCCTGGGCTCACAGAGAGCTTCCATGCAGTAATGGGAGGGTCTAGATTCTAGAACATCCATCTGCCGTTGTGGGAAACAATGGCAGCAATGAAGAAAATCTCTTTGGGCAGGCCTCACGCCGCACCGTCTTCATGTGAGTGCCTTGAAACCGGGCTGACACAGGAGACCAGAGCAGAACAATGACTCTGCCTCCGAAAATCGGATCTGTGTGGCCAGACCTCTGTTGCTATGGCAACGAAAAATGCAGCTTCCTTGCCGCTCATCAAAAAATGTATTTCATTCATAGAGTATCTGCGTTTCAAGGCTGTTAGTGGAGATTAAGGGAGTTCGAGCACGTGAAACACTCAGCACAGGGCCCAGCACAAAGAAAATACATAATAAATGCTACCATTATTAATGTGAAAATCCCTTTAATTCGCCAAGGATTTATTGAATGCTTCTGGATGCTGCAGGGCGTTTTAGACAATGTCAGAATGAACGACCAAGCTGTAAAATATAGACTCTGATGGAACTTGCTATCTGTGGTTAGATACCAGATTTATAGCATGAAAAGTAGGACAGCAGAATCAGAAAGAAAAACATGAAATGAGGAAGGAAATTGCCATAAATTGTCAGCCCTGTTAATGACATAATAGTATTTGCTGAGGACTTAGCTCTGTTTCCGGCACTGGGTGAACGTGGGGGGCGCAGGATCTCCTTCACTCTGGCGACAGTCCTTCACGCAGAGAGCGAAACTGAGAGCTGCGCAGAGTCCTCTGGCTCACCCCCAGGTCAGGGCCAGAGCAGGTGTTTACTCCAGGAGTCTGTCTCTGGGCCACGGTCACTCCTGCTGGGAGAGCGGCAGGCAGGGACCATTCCCTGCCAGGCTCAAGGTCTTTGATTAACGAGGCCGTGATGTTGTGATTTATAGTACGAAATACATATTCGGGCTTCTCCCCTGTTTCTGGCACAGAGATCCTAGCACCTTTGGGGTTTCTTAAGTGAAGAAGGTAATGGAGATGTCTTTTTTGTTATGTTAATGAGGCATCTTTTGGAAGGCACTGTCTTTTAGGGGCTGGTTGCCTGGAAAAGCAACTCTGTGACTGGAGGGTTTGAAGTTTCAGATCCAGCACCCCCACCAATCTCCAGGAAGGAAAGAGGGGCTGGAAGGGGGATCTGTGTAATGGAACCTTCATAAAACCCCAAAAGGATGCGGTTCAGAGAGCTTCCAGGGAACCCCTGGAGACTTGGGGACAGTGGCTTTCTGGGGGAGGACATGGAAGTTCCAAGCCCTTCCCCCATACCTTGTCCTATGTGTCTCTTCCATCTGGCCATTCTTGAGTTACATCCTTTATGATAAACTGGTGATCCAGGGGCGTCTGAATGGCCTAGTTGCCGACTCTTGATTTTGGCTCAGGTCATGATCTCAGGGTCCTGGGATTGAGCCCCGCGTTGGGCTCCCTGCTCAGTAGGGAGCTTACTTGGGGATTCCCTTTTTCCCACTCCTTCTGCCCCTCCCTCTGCTCTCTCTCTAAAATAAACAGACAAAATCTTAAAAAAAAATAACCTGGTGATCCAGTAAGTAAACTATTTCTCGGAGTTCTATGAGCCTCTCTGGCAAATTAATGGACTCTAGAGAGGGGGTTGCTGCAACCTCCGATCTACAGCCATCTGTCAGAAGCCTGGTCACACAACCTGGACTTGTAATCGGTGTATGAAGAGTGGAGGCAGTCTTGTGGGACTGAGCCCTTCACCTGTGAGATCTGACCCCTCTCCAGGTAGACAGTGTCAGAATTGAGTCGAATTGTAGGACACCCAGGTGGTGGTGAATTGCTTAGTGTTGTAGGGGGGACCTATATAGACACCCCCACACTGGAATTGGTATCAGAATGGTAAATAGGTCTTCAACATGTCCATTTGGGATATATCAAATGCATAAACAGTTCACCTGCCTGGGAGTGCCGAGCAGGGCTTTCTGCAACAATACCAGCCCCCTTGAGGTTAGTTGAGCTGAGATGTTCTGGTGTTGAGGTCACCTAAGCCCACGGAAGTGAATCATGATTGGCCTCCCTGTATTCCACACTAATAATGTTAGATCTATTTTAGTGTGTAATTGATGCTGTTCTCCTGCTACTGAAATTAATTTGAGCCAGATGACCAGACTTTGAATATTCCCAGTGTTTGCTTCATTGGGTCTTTACTCAATAAGAAATACAATCGAATAGTAGATTGTTCTAATGCCCCTTCGACATTTGAATTCTTTCTTGACAATATTTGCCTCCTGCATAGAAAGTGATGTGATTATTAAAATATAAGTTTCACACAAACATTACTAGTCTTCATCCCAACTATGGCCATTGTTACCCATGTTCTGCCCATCATGGGTACTTTGGACAAAAACGAGGTCTCATGTCAAGCGCGTTTTGTTGTGGTTTGTTTGTTCATATGAGCTGTGCCCAGGTTTCTGGAGGGTGCCCTAGTTTGATGATTTCTAACTGTTCCATTCCCCCACCCCCTTGAATGAATACCAATTTCTCAATCTCCATCTTAGACTATTAAATTTGGCTTCAAATGCTAGTTTACCTATTTGTAGGAGGACAGCTTTCCCGAGTCTCTGTTGGCACAACTCTATAGATAACAGCACCAGATTTTCAAGCTATTGTGAGGATTAACAGATACAACAGGTGTGAAATTCCTATCCCAGTGTCCAAATTACAAGTTTCTGTCTGGCCTTGGAAACAACTCTGCTGGATGTGACTTCAGCTAGGATGTCGTCTGTGGAGAAGCAGACTCAAGATCCCGCTTTATCACGCTTATCAGCTCTCGTGCTGCTGGTTTGTGGGCAAGACGCGACTCTTTCCTTGAGTGTGTGCGTGTGTTCCCAGCACTTTATGGGTGTGCACTCACTTCTATGTCCACAACCACCACCCTGAGATGGGTATTGTTACCTGCACCCTCCAGATGAGGCCACTGAGTCACGGGGAGGCTCCCCACCTGCTGGAGTCGACACGAAGATGGGGACGAAGACAGGGCGGTCCTATTCCAGGGCACGTGTTTTCAGTCATCACCTTAGAGCGGCCTCACACACGACTGCATGCCTATTTCTATATAACTGGTCCTGTTTCGTGTGACCCCAACGTGTAGGTCTCTCACGGTAAGTTCAGATTCTAATTCAATTGTTCTACTCCTGTCTCTGATTCCTCTACTTTCTTAAATCATTAGCAAAATGGAATCCACATGCCGTTCAACTTTTCCAGTAATTTTACAGTCATTAAAGGTTGAAGAAAACGGTGATAAAACAACTCCCCTTTATTCCTCAGATTTGGCATCCTAGGTGATTATATAATAATATTTATACTGATACTCTACAATTTGTTCAATTCCATAAGAGAAACTTAAAAATATCAATGTCCTGAGATGATTATAAAATTAAATCTCTGGCTAGGGCTTCTTATCGTTAGCACCTGGGGTTCTTCTGCGGTTCTGCTGGGGCTTCCCCAGGCCTGGAGCTCTTCGCCCGCGGGGCAGAGCTCGGGAATTCCCTCTCCCCGGTAAGGCTGGATATGGCAGTCCACCTTGGGCACCTTTGGTGGGGGCCCTTGGAGGCTAGTTGACACTCCTGAGCCGGGGGGTAGGGAGGACCAGACTGCCCCCAGGGGCTCTGCCTGGGAGGTGGCCTTCGTGTATAATAAAAATTTTAATATAATCTGAGGGACCATATACCCCTTAAGCCTCTGACATCATTCTCACTTGACATCCAAATAAGGGGGCTCTTGACTCCATCTTCGGAACGGTGGAGAGTTCACCACCTTCAGTAAGTAAAATTAAAAACAGATAACTGTGTTTGAAAATTCCTCCACCCTCCCAGGCAGGTGCTGTCCTTTTGTCTCAGTCTCTCTTTCTCCAGAACTTTCTGGCTCCTCTGAATTTCAGAACGGCCCCATCCACGAATTAATAAATCGCCACCCAAACACCATGGGAATCCCGCCTTCTGTTCCTGGGTTGGTGGGGAGGTGGTCCCTGATTCTCCCATTTTGGTCTGCAGGGAGACGGCTCCTCCTGGATGGACCATTCTTTGCCTGAAGGAATCCTGCTAAGACCCCGAGGACAAGTCAGCAACTGAGTATTACACGGCAGGAAGCGGTGCGGGCTCAGCAGGCACCCATGGCCACAGCCCTGGGGACAGTGGGTCATAGCCTGGGCTGAGGGATGACCATGAGGCATCCTGCTGTCACAAAGAACGCACCTGCTGGGCCTGGCTGGAGCTGCTAGCCAAGCTGCCAGCAGAAGGCCCCTCAGGCACATCCCCCTGCCGGCCTGGCTTCGCTGCCTGTTGGTGGCTTTTCGACTTTGCTTTCAGCGCCCGAGTCCTCCCGGGCGTGTGGCCCCCCAGCATGATGGGCTGACCTCCGAGAAAAGGGTGATGACATTTCTGGAAATAAGCAGGGCCAGTGTCAGGAGGGATTGTCCTGCCACCACAGAACTGTCACCACTTCCTGAAGGGACACTCCCAGGCCTTCTCCCGTGCAGCCCCCTGATGGCCCAGGGTCTCAGTGCCTTGCTGAGAGTCGTGGGCGTGCCGATCCTGCACCTCTGGTTTCCTTCCCCTCCCACTGTGGGGTGCTTCCAGCACTCATTGGCAGGCACTGTGGACCTTGAGGCATGTTGTAAAGTAAATGCTTGTATTCCCCCTAATTTATATGTTGAAGCCTCACCCCCCACTGTGATGGTGTTAGGAGGTGGGGACTTCGGGGGGTGCTGAGGTCATGAGCGTGGGGCCCCCATGACAGGATGGGAGTCCTTATAAAAGAGACCCCAGAGAGCCCCCTCACCCCCTTCCATTAGGTGAGGACACTGAAAATGTGTCTGTGAACCAAAAAGCAGGATCTCACCAGACTCCGAATCTTCAGGCACCTTGATCTTGGACTTCAGCCCCCGGGGCTGTGAGGAATAAATAAATGTTTGCTGTTCACGAGCCACCCGGTCTGTGGCATTTTTGTTGTAGTAGCTAGAGCTGACTAAGACAGGCCTGCAGCAGTAGAGATGCGCGTCGCGATGCGAGTCTCCATACGAACGGGGCACGGGTTGCCTGCACTGCGCACGACTGAGGAAACAGTAGGATAAAGAATCTTCACGTTGTTTTAACGATGCACCTCCATCTTTGTCAGGGGTGGGGTGTACCCGAAATGCACGACACAGTAAAGACACAGTTATGACCCCAGTCTGGAGCCTGATCCAAGCTCGCTGGGAGAGTCCCTGGATATCTGCCTGCCTGCCTACTTTTGCTTGGAATTTGTTCCCTTGTGAGCCTCCTCAGCATTCCCACGACCCTCGTTTCCAGCAAAAACGCCCACGAGCTCCCCTTCTTCCCAGGTTTATTCTACCCCTCTTTGAAGGGCTGGGGAAGTCACCAAATATTTCAGCTTATCCAATCTCTCATGGGCTGTCAGTCACAGGAACTAGAAAAGCAACAGCACGTGCAGAGCGATGTGAAAGAAAATAAACAATTTAGGTACCTCTTCTGCTCGGTTATTTTCAGAAAGTATCGGGAGATAATACCTCTGTGGATAATCAAGAGCCAATTTATAATCATAACGCCTGCTTAAGCAAATTAAAACAAGGGCATAAAGTATGGCAATCAGGAAAAATTTTACTAGGGAGCTATTACTGATGGATGCTTCTAGAAGAAATGTCGCTATGACAGGAATATTTCTGAATCCTGGTTGGTGTTGCATAAATGAGGTATTGGCTGGTCAGGTAACCTTGTCCTCAGAACTAAAGAGGAGATGAGGATTTTCTTCTACTCGTTTGGGGTCTGGGGCTGTTGGGAATTAAACTGAAAAAAAAAAAACAAACAACTGAACAGAAGGGCATACACACTTTATTGATTGTTAACATTCTTCGTGTACATGGATGCCTTCATTAGGTAAGAGATGAAGACCCAAGAAGGAGACCAGCCTGAGAGCTCATGTACCATTTGAACAAAGAGGTACATGGCAGAGACTGATAAGACAGGAGAAAAAGAGGTGTGGGCCACGGGCAATACACTGGACATAAATGGGGGGACCATGGGGGAATTAGGGTTATTTTATTTTATTTATTTATTTATTTATTTATTTATTTATTTATTTATTTATTTATTTTTAAAGATTTTATTTATTTATTTGACAGAGAGAGAGACACAGCGAGAGAGGGAACACAAGCAGGGGGAGTGGGAGAGGGAGAAGCAGGCTTCCCTTGGAGCAGGGAGCCCGATGCGGGGCTCGATCCCAGGACCTGGAATCATGACCTGAGCCGAAAGCAGACGCTTAACGACTGAGCCACCCAGGCGCCCCTAGGGTTATTTTAGTAGGTATGTTTGCACAGGTCAGTTTGGGCATCAGTAAGAATGCTATGCTTTTCTCGGTGCAGGGAAGGTGCCTTTCTCCTGGGGAAATTTTTTGTTAAGACAGTTTTTATTTTATTATTTTTTAAGATTTTATTTATTTAGAGACAGAAAGAGAGAGACCATGAGTGGAGTGAGCGAGAGAAGACAAGAGAGAATCTCAAGCAGACTCCGTGCTGAGCATGGAGCCTGACGCAGGGCTCAGTCTCACGACCCTGGGATCAGGACCTGAGCCAGAATCAAGAGCTGGATGCTTAACCGACTGAGCCACCGAGGCACCCTTCTCCTGGGGAAAGAAGGAGGTCAGCGGTCCCTTCCTGCATCCGCAAGGGACTTCAGCCTGTGGGGTCCGACCCGTCTCCAGGTAGATGGTGTCGGGGCTGGGTTAGATGGCAGCACACCCAGCTGGGGCTGCAGAGCTGTCCCACGTGCCAGAGGGCTGTGTTGCAGTGAGGTATCGAGACAGAAGGACTCGCAGCAGGGGAGGGTTTTTCCCTTATAGCAACATTACCCTTAATCCTCACCCTCTCAGATCAAAACGAAACAAAGCAAAAAGGCTGTAACAGAAAGTGACACACAGCTCCAATAATGAGCTTGGGAATAAAAATTGAGGCGTATATGTCACATCTTAAAAATACAACTTCTCCTCCTCCAGAACTACGTTCAGAACAGCTCTTCGTTGTCTTCTTTATGCCCCATTATTTGTTCCTTCTGGTCCTCAGGCCCCACGATGCCTCACTATGATTGCCATGAGTGCATCTGCATGAAATTTTATTGCAACTGAATCACAACGTCTTTTGCCATTTGCTTCAGTAGGATTTGATCAGTCATTTATTCTAAAAATCAAACATAGGAAGTGTTTGTGGCATCTTTACTACCAATTCAATCCTCTTACATTCAGAAATATTTTCTGAGCTCCCACTTTGGGTGGAGTGTGGTTCTTGAACAATCGCAGTCATCACTGATGTCTGCAGAGCAGGTGCCCTGTGATCAAGCGGTTTACACGCATTCACTCATTGAATGCTCAGATCTGCTCGAAGATAAGTGTTAATGGAGAATGAAGGAACCACCCAGTAAACGCCTAGTCCTGCTTTTAGATGAGCGATCGCTCTTGTTTGGTTGTGCATCTTCTCATTTTACCTACTGCCCAAGTCCCCGCTCTGTATTTTTGGGGCATCGATGGAACATGGGGTTCAGCATCAGACCCTGGGGAACAGATACATGCCGTGTGTTCTCTGCCTTCCATGGCTTGCAACTATTTGGCAAGGGTGAATACGCGCATGCTTAAAAATATGTTTGGAATTACCTGCTGCAGTCTATGCTAAGTCATTAATGAGGAAGCCAGGGGCAAAGACGCAGTGCTCCAACAGTTCAGAGGAGAGTGACAGCAAGCGGCAGAGAGCAGGGACACTTGGGAGAAGGTGGGATGTGAGCCTCCCTTGAAAGGAAACGGGGGTTGTTCAGGGACTCTGAGGTCAGTTCTTGTTAACTACAGCCGAGCCCTGTGGATACACGGAGAATCTTCCAGCTGTCTCATTGTCATGTCCTTCAAGGCCCCCCAAGGTCACCACCCGTCCCACATCAACTGATTTGGGGAATACGGGACAACAATCTTTATGAGCAAAGAATTTGTTCCAAATTGCCTTTCCCTTATTTTATTGATTATACCTTTACAGCCACCAAGTTGTAAGCATCGCTCATCATCCCCAATGAAAAGCACAAGAATGTTCACTTATTTAGATAGCACAGAAGGAGGGCACGTCCTAGAACACAGATGGTAAATTGGCTTAGTTTGTGATGAAGGTCACCACACCTTAAATAAATCAGTGACTAATCTTCTATAGGGAAAGGGTGAATGTATTTGGAACAACATAGCATGAGAAATCCACGGGAAAACTGGAAGGAGTTTTGAAGCCTGTGAAGTCACGCGGTTGTAATGTGGGGTGCATGTGTTCCATCCAGAAAGCATCACACTGAAAATGGGGTGGGAAGGGGTCGAGACGAGGAGGACCTACAGGGGGGACCTGCGGGCTTCGCTGAGGCTCAGAAAGGGCAGTCCTTATGGAGCGTGGAAGAATTGCTCATGAAACGCGTGAAGGGTTTCTCAGAGAGCAGGCCTAGACATCAGAGAACTGCAGCATTTTAGGGGCAGGATAGGACATGAGACCAGAGGAACACAGCAAGCTGGAACCCAGTGCCCTGCGTCAGTGTGGGATCCCTGGTCGGAAAGGCAGAAAGGCCGAGGACCGAGTTAGTGACAGCAAAGCATTTGAAGGGTCATCTGGGGACGGAGGAAATGAAAACGGGTTGACGATGTTGCCTGAAACATTTGGGTCAGAGAGAAGAGGCCACTTGAAGGCACTGAGGGAGTCACTGGGGCGTATACAGTCTCATCCAGTTCAGCCTGTAGGTGTGATCCCCATTTTCTGAAACCCTAGAGCTCTCTCTATGAGTATCAAGCTTTTGAGCGCATAATCCCATACTAGACTTGGTCACTTCACCATTTTACTGTCTTCCTTCTAACATCACACAACACTGATCCTTGCCTGGGAGAGTAGCTTAGCCTTTCAGACAGCTCTGTTTACCCGGTCCTCCGTTCCGTCTTCACTACCCCTCTGTGAGGTACGCAGAGCAGGTGTTTTCAGATACAAGTACCCACGGGGGGTGGAGGCCAGTGGCGAGCAGAGACGAGAACAGAGGAGAAGCAGCCCAGCCGCTCTGCTCCTGATGGGCTCCAGCGAACACACACTCATCAGGAAACGGACCCGTCCATGAAATAAGATTCTTCCTTAATACCGATTTTATGAATGAAGGTGTTCGTTTGTTGTCAGCCTCATTGGTCTTCAGTATTTCATTTGCGATGTAAGAACTACAGATCTTAAATCGTGAGTATTTTTTTCAAGGACTTCCAGCACTTCCTTCCCATTGGTTAGCCCCCTTTCAAGTTCAGAAGACGTTGGTTAGAGATAAAACAGAGGATAGAAATAAGAGCCTCATCCAGCCCTCTGAAATTAGAATGGGAAACATTTTGTCGAGTCAATATCGTTGCCAGTGAATTATAGCTCTCAGTGGGATTTTTAAAAATTGCTTCCCCGGTCCGATTTTAAATACCTCAGTAAATTCGCTTGTGCCTCCTCCCCAGAGAGATAATTATTTAATGTAATGGCGCCACTCTCATGACGTTCTGGGGCAGAGGGTACGAATGTTCTTTTTCAAATGAGTTGTATTTCCCCACATGTGTGCTAATACTACCCTAAACATTCCTTCCTCTGGGTGTGTCTTCCTCCAGATCCTCTCTCCTGGTCACTTCCTCGCTGCTGCACATTTGCGTCATCGCTGGGGTTTACCTCGTTACCTCTCTTTTCCCGTAATCACTTTGGATGTTCGTTTCTTGATTCCCGGCTCTGTGGTCCGCCTGCTGTTAGATATCTAGGCACTCACACTTAATCCGGGTTTTGAGCAGGCTATTTTGAGAGAGACGCAATTTCTGTATTTCCTCGACTCGAAACCCAGCTCGTCACGACTGTTCAGTTGTCACATCGTACCGAGAGTCTGTGCTAATTATTTTTTGGTGGGTA